GTTCGGCAGGGACCCCTCCACCCGGCCCCCCAGGTGTGGGGCTATGGGCCGGAGAGCTGCCCCAGCTGGTGCAGCAGGTTTGGAGACCTGGGTGGGAGGTGTGTCAGGGCAGTGCAACACCTTGTGACACCACACCGTGCCCACCACACACCAATCCCAGCGACACGACTGCCTGGGGACATCCCTGGGGCGGCACATCTGAGTGGATGGAAACTGGGAGTCTCCATCGGGTTCAGGTCCTAAATTACAACGGACCACAGAAACCAGTGGAAGGGGCTGGGAAGGGACCCCTGGGTCCAGGCACCCACCCCGAGCAGTGACGGCGGGCCGCCTAGGCGGGGGGGCCTACACTGCGGTGAAACGGGCGCAGGCAGCCCCGCTCCCCCGGCAGCTCTTCGGGGCAGCTGCACGTTTCCACTCCTCTGGGCTCAGGCTGGCCTGGATGTCCTTAATTGCCCAAAGGTCGTCGTCCCCGAGCCCAGGGCCACGTGTCGGAGGGACCCTGGGCAGGAACCTGACACGGACGCGAGTCATTCGGGATCAACGCTGGGGGCCAGGAAATTGCAACGGACACGAACCTAAATACGCCGCGCGTCTCCCCAGGTAATCAGGGGCTGGGCCAGATTCCGGCTGACAGCTTAAATGCCTTAATTCCTCGGCCGCTGCGGTTTGAGGGGGTCCCGCGTGCCGTGGGCTTCTCCCAAACGGTCTCCAAACTGGAGATTTGTCTGTAATTGGAGGCATGTTGCATTCCCCTGAAAGTAGCCAGGTCCCGCTGGAGGGGGGCTGCGGGAAGGCAGCAATTTCCCTTATGGAATTATTTACCTGATTAGAGAGTTTATTTTATCAAAATTGCTTCAGAATGGGGCTGCTCGGTGTGTCCAGCGTGGGGAGCTCCCCGGTGGGGCCAGCGGCCTGGAGACAGGTAATTTGTGTGGTTAATGGGACTAATCCACCAGGCAATTACACCAATAGATTTCACGGCTGCAAAGTGCTCTGTTCCTATTAATTAAAAATCTGTTAAGAAGATTAGCACGTAAAGGTATCAAAAGAAACCCAAGAGTTCCTTTCCCCACCAGCCCCCAAAGGAGAGTGTGGGAGTGCTGGATTGCCCGCATTAGCACAAAAATTATTCTTTTAAAGGTAAGGGCTTCGCATCCAAAGTAACCGCTGACAGTTTTCCCCGACTTCCCTACCAAGAGGTCCTTTATGTTTAATTATAGTTTGTTTAAATTAGCCCTGATTGTTCGCGTGGAGTGTTAGCTTAAATATATTTCGAACGTGTGGTTCCCCCGTGACCTGCCGGGAGGGCACCCTCCAGCCGAGTCCTGTGTCCTGCCAGGTGCCCCCGCCAAGGGGGTGATGCGGGGGGCTACCTGGGAGGAGATGGGGGCTCCAAACTTGGCGTTCCCTGGTGGAGCCGGTCACGCCAGAGCAGGAGGTGGGCATGGTGATTCCCACCATCCGCAGGGGACCAAGCCCACCAAGCCCAGCTCTGCCGGCAGGAGCTCCGTGCCGTCACCACCTGCACCCCCGGACCCCCCACTCCCACCCCCTCGCCGCCGGCCGGCACTGCCCAGCCTCGCGCTGCTCCTGGCCTTTGTCCACAGCCAGACACCGAGCAAAACAAAAGCAAATTCCCCGGCAGCTGAAGGTGCCATTTTTACGGCTGGGGGGGGAG